TTCTTATTTAGGATTTCACACATTTCTTCCTCCTTAGAATATATAATGTTATTATCTTTGATGGCGCTAATTTGATCCCTACTTTTAGTTTTACTTTTAGTTTTAAGATCATAAGAAATCTTTATAACACCTTTTGGTTTTTCTTTTCTTTCTTTCCTGTTTCGCTTTGAGTTTTTCCTGTAGCAGACAGTATTTTAGTTTAATCACTACATGGTCGCTTTTTCCTAAAGGAGGACAGTACTCGATATCCTTAATATTGTCGTTATGCTTTGTAAATATTAGGTCAAGCATAGACGGCCTATCTAGCCCTCTTATCCTGGTATGATCTGTTACATTCTGGAAAAGGCAATGCTCATTCATGACATCTAGTTATTTAGCATTCCACGAATCTGATTGTGCTCTAGGATCGAAACTTTCCCAGTCGATTTTGCTATTAAAATCCCCTGTAATAAGAATTTCTGTTGAATTGGTTTCCGAAAGTTGAAGCACTTCTTCCAGGCTCTTTATTGTCTCTTGAATTAGTTTCTGGTAATTTTCTAGTGACCACGCCGATGTTTGAGGTGGCATGTATACCGTGGTTATTATTATGTTTACCCCATTTATTTCTACCTCAATTACCTTCATTTCCACCATGGGGTCCTGATTAATTTCTAACTCCTTTATAATAATTTCTTTCTTTGTTAATATTGCTACCCCCCCTCCATTTCCATCTGCCCTATCTTTTCTCCAAATATTATAGTCTTTGAGCCCTAATGTTACATCGTCTATGGAGGGTTCCAGTTTGGTTTCAGTGATGCATATTACATCCGGTTTATCCATATCAATTATTGTCTCTAGTTCAAACAACTTCGAAGATAAACCATCAATAATTGTATAAACTATTTTTATATAATCTTTAGCTATTAAATTTGGTTGCAGGGTTAATGTTTGTCTCCCTCTACATTTTGGTTCCGATAGTATATTTGCTTTGCTTGGAGACCTCTCACCCTCCAAATAAATAAGTTTTTTTCCTCTTCAGTCCTTTGTTCATTTTTGTTTTTCACTTTCACCAATTTCTGTGTGTGTGTCTTATATTTTGTGATATATATATATGTATATATATGTGTATTGTGATGATTACTATGATCATTTTTATTATCACTTTTATTATCATCATTCCCATCATCATTATTATTATGGATAATGTTCTTAGTACTGTTACTTTTATTATTATTGATTTTGTTATTAATACTATGAATACTGTAATCTTATCATTATTACTGTGATAATAGTACTATCTGTTAGGAGCAGTATTCGTAGTATTATCAGTCGTATTATAATTAAATCATTGCTATAATCACTTTTATCACTATGATTAACGTGAGGATAATAACTATTATAACCATCATCATCATTATTAGCATTTCTATTATTGTTATCCTTATTACTCTTATTTTTGTGAATATGACTATGATAGTTATGAACAGTAGTTGCCTTTGTATTGGTATAATCATTAAACTGTTAATATTATTATTGCTATCATTATGAACAAAGCGATATTGATAATCATCATAACCTTCATCATTATAATTATTGTTATTATAATCGTTATCTTCATTATCTTCATTATTATTATTATTATCATCATTTCTGTTATTATAATTTCTACTGTCTATTACTAATTATTATTATCATTATCTTAATTGTCATTATTATTATTATTACCATTACTATTTTATTGTTTTCGTTATTGTTTTTGTTATTATTATTGCTATTATAACTATTGTCATTATTATTCCTGTTACTAATGTTATCACCATCATTCTGTTTTTATCATTATCATTATTTGATCCTCTTTATCATTAGTATCATCCTCATTATCATCATTATTAGTTTTCATTATTATCATTGATATTGTTATAATTGTATTGGTTATTATTATCCCTTTTATCAAAACTGTATGATTATTATTGATATTATTTGTGTTCTTGTGAATTTGATTCGTGTTTTTCTTCTTATAGTTTTTATAATATATCTATAAATATTTTTTTTTATATATTACTATTATGATAATGAAAATATATAAAAATAATAATAACTAGAAGCACACAGAAACCGCATACCTCCAAGGGTCACAGAGGTAATAAAGGTATTCACACTTAAAGAATTACATAAAAACTTCCCAAGTAATAGGGGTAATGATGCAATCACTCAAAATAATTCTGGACTCGGATCATTTCCAAAATCTGTGTTAGACTAGGACACACATTTTGTAAAATTTTCATAAAAATGTGCTCATATATATATTTTTTTGAATTTAGTTTGTAAAAGGGGAAACTCATGCAATCATTACAAGTTTCTGGATCCGGAGGACCACCAAAATTTAATCTTAAATAATCTATTCATAACTTTTTGAGTTATCCTGCTCATCAACGAATAAACGAACTAGCAAACTACCAAACCAACACGACCAAAAAAAAAAAAAAAAAAAAAAACCTTGGCGATGGTAATAATACTTATAGAATGACTGTGATGATCATTATCGTTTTTATTTTTATTGTTATTATCATTATCAGCAGTGTTATCATTATCATTATCATAAATGGCATTATTAACATCATTCATATTACCATCATATTTATTATTATTTCTATTTTCATCGCTTTCATCAGCATCTTGTAAAGTAGGTTGAAGGCCTTTTCTTAGTAAATGACCATCTTTTAACCATGCTGTGATGTGTGAACTTGGGTTAAATATTATGAACAACTGTATCAGGTAGATCCCCAACTAGTTAGTTTGGATGCTGCTGGTGTCACGATCCCTGATTGAGATCACAGAGGTGATCCCTAAGCTGAAGGGTGGAAACCCTGCGGGCATTCTGAACTG